AGAGATGAAGGGAAGATAAAAAATACAGAGATGTGGGAAAAGATGGAAAGGAAGGGAGAGAGTGAGAGAGAGATGGTGATGAGTTAGATTTCTAAAGCATTTTCCCCCCATTTTTTTGCTTTTCTCACTCTAATTTTCCTGACTCTAATTTTCAGAGCCGGGAAATTAGAAGAAAACAGATCCTGTGATTTGGCTCATTCTGACGAAACAGGGCTGTTAGGGAAAATGGGACAATGGGTGTTGTCAGCTAAGCTTGCATTAAACAGGCAATGTAAAACAGCAACAGGACTTCACTGTTGCGCAAACCACATGATAACAGTGCAAAATCACACAGACCATTTTATGAGAACTGAGTGTTATTATTGGGTGTACACGCTTTTTGTTACCAATATGTGGGACAGGGAGGGAAGGAAAACATGCAAATATGGCGCTATTATTAAAATAGAGCATGCCGTAAAACAGTAGAGTCCTTGAAATCATATAGCAGACTTATAATAGTGTCTAATCATTTAAAATGATTGCATTAGTCATCATTGCATGATTTAATAAAACACCGCACAGGATACAGTGATGCTAAAAATAAACTAGATCCAAGGGTTTACATATCAGGACATAATAAAAAAATATCTGGTCCTTAGCGGGTTTTAAAATTAGGTAAATACAATCTTGCGTGAACAAAAATATGCGACATATTACACCATGTTAATATTTACTAAGCCAAAATACAGAAGCATTGAATGAAAAAGAAAGCACGCTCAGCATTCCTTCCTGCTCTACCATGATAGAGCATTTGTATGTGCTGTGTTTGCTTTTGTACATTATGACCTCTTTGGTCCCGCCTGTCCAAAGAACATTGTTACAGAAGTCTTTTTTCAGATGCAACTTTGGAGACTTCAGATGTTCTGCTGCTTCTTTTTAAAAAGAGAAGAGGTTTTCTCTTGACAGCCCTTCCAAAAAAATAAAAAGAAAGAAAAAAAGCCATCCTTGTTCGGTCTTTATCTAATTATAATGTCATGAACTTTAATATTTAACATGCTACCCGAGGCCAGTAGAGTCTGAGATGTCACTCTTATTTCATTTTTTTTTTAAATTTCTTTGAGCATTACATGGTCTGGCTTCAGGGTGAATTTGCTCTGAGGTAGGAATGGTGGCAATTGTGTTAAATGTTTTCCACTTGTGAATAATCTTTGTTACTATAGAATGATGGACTTCAAATAACTCTTCCAGAATAATGGGCAAAAAATGGCTAAGATCACTGCTCATGTCTTTCCTCAGGGCACCGTGTTGACACAGACCTTAATGTTTCAGACATGCAAGCTGCCAAAACGTCTGCGTTTCTAGAGCAGCTAATGATCGATAATCAAGTGCATTTTATTAACAGCACCTGGCTGCTGTTTACGGTCTTAATTGCTGTGTAAGCTGTAAGGCTGTACTTAGTTTCTCCACACACTGCTTCTGCATTTTGGCTTTTTTTTTTTTAAGATAAACAATGGCTGAACAATATGTCATGTTTTGTAGTTCACATAAAGGTGTAGTTATCTAAATGTAAAACAAGGTAGATGGGGTTTCATTAGAATTTCTTTAGAAGTTTTTTTTAATGTATAGGTTATCTAACAATCTTCTTTATAGTTAAGATAGTTATAGCAAAGATAGATAGATAAAAATATCAAAGTAATTAGAGCACCTTACTGTACTTGAGTGAGTGGTTCCAGGTTATGAGCTCAGTCCACTTAGATTTTCTTACTGCACAGATGACATTATGCTTTGAATATCAGTACATCTAATAAACATCAGTCCACCTTCATTATTTTTCTCTGCTTGGTCTCGCAATCGAACTCGTGGTGAATGTAGATAAGGAGGGCTCTTACAGACACTGGGGACATTTGTATTTTTAAGGGAAGACAAATCATGTAATAGAAATAGAAATAACAAGATAATAATTGTATTATGCAGATTGTTTTCTTTTTATTATTATTTTATTAAGCTTGGGTAGGAAAATCTGGCCTTTCTTACCTTTATCTTTAGTGAATTTCAATTATATTTTTGAATAACAATGCATTAGCATGAGGCCTTTACAGACTAAACTATGAAGGTTTGCACCCATCTGTAACATGTGCCCCTCAGGTAGTGCATCAGAAGAAACCAAATTAGGTTAAAAAAAAATAAATCTAAATTTCCTTTATCCATTTTCCCAACTCACTCATCGTGAACAAAGCGTCCCTTTCCTTCCTGTATCAAACAAAAGATTCATACCAAGACTTATGAGAGATCTGCTCAAGGACAAAGTGCGAACCGGAAATATAAAAATATGCTGGAATTGTGACAGGGACTTGTTTTGTCGGTGCAGAGGAAGAACGCTCATGAACATTTAGGGACAGATTTATTTTTCCTTGCTGAGTTGTAGGGGAAAAAATAGCAAGAACTGAATCTGCATTCAGCGATGGCTACACCTCAGCCCCTGTAAAGACGTAAGATATAACTGTTTATAGTGTTAATGAACCGCAGGCTCTGCTTTGATCAGTATCACACCAACTGCTCTTAATCGATCTAATCTATTTGGACAGCTCTAGACATGAAAAAGGTAAAGTGGGAGTGAAAAACAGACACACATATGCACACTTTTGTCAGCAATTCTGGGTAACTATTACAGCTTGTGTGCATGTGTTGAAAGGCTGTGATTCATGTAAAACAAAAGGAGATCTCACTCTTGTGTAAAAAAGAAAAAGTGAAGCGAATCCAGCTTAACTGCAAGCTTGGCAGTGAGTCAGAAACAGTGAAACAAACAGAATTTTTTGGAGGCTTGATCAAGACCTCAGTCTGAAAATAATTGTCACTGCGTGTAAACCTAAGACAGATGGCTGGTATGATGGGAAAGTGAGCTATATGAACTGTGGTTTTAACAAGGAAATTACAGAAACACCTTGACTGGAGAACAAAGATAGACGCCACACTTGATTTAGACCGGCATGACATCACTGTTTGCATATTTATTTCCACATCTTCACATGAATCAAGCGCAAACTCAAACCCGCACTGACGTCAGCTCAACGACTCGTGGCTGAATCATGACTGCGTGCGTGTAGTTTGAAACTGGCAGCAGCTCTGATATGAAGACTACACAAACCCACACACATCTTTACATACTGGGACAAAAGCATTGAGCTTGTAGGCAATTATTTCAGTACAGCCAGTGCTACATTAATATTTGTTTCCATCCAGAGTCCCTCCAGAGTAGACCCACGTTAGGCAGGTCTGCCCTCATGAAGAAAATTAACAACATCTGGACGTGGAAATTTCCACCCATTTGACCAAATGGGGGCTTTAAGAAGGTAAAGGGTGAAAAATGAGTGTATGCGTGGGAAAACACCCAGCGCGCGTATGAAGAAGCACAAAGGTCCAGTCACCTCTGGGTTCCCCAATGCAAATGCGCTCAGACAGAAATGAAACTGTGTTTCGTATGGAAAATGACCTCATGTTTAACAAACAAGAGTCAGAAGGTGGCAGTCACATATATGCACATACACTTCTTTCTAAAGGTGTCACATGTTTGGGCCAAAGTATTACCACAAGTTCACACGGTCACTGAGACACAGTAAAATTCATGTATTCACACCAACACATACACTTGGCACAGAGCTTGATTAGTTCTCACTGACCAGAACGTAAAAAAAAGAAAGAAAAAAAGATCAGTTTCACAGACACTAACTGAAAACAACTTTACACTGCAAAATGATAACAGTCTGTTAGCTTCGTCTTCCAGCCTGAAACCAAGAAATGTTACACACAGAACAGACTTTACATCTACCATCATCATGTTCACACAGCATGAATAATACATGGATAAAGCTCAAGTCTAAAATGATTGTGGCACTATATTACGCTTTTAAAAAATAAGCAACTTCAACAACTTCACATTATAATCCCTAAGGGATTAATTAAACTGGAACATGATATAATCACTGTGTATATTCCTAAAGTCAAAGCTGAAATACTCTGGGTTGATGCCATGTTCCCAACTTGCCGTCTCTACTGGCCCACATCCTGATGGCCTGACGAAGACTCCTGGACATCTCCTTCATTGATGCTACAGGTTGCACTGGGTTGTAAAGGCGGGGAGGCTGCTGTTGCTGCACCATTGCTTATTGAAGATGTTGTATTGAATGTTAGTACCTGGGTAGAAGCAGGAGAAGCATCAGACATCCTGGCCGTCCTGCCGGGTGCTTGGAGCTGATCCGTTTGGTTTGGTGTAGAGACACGATCAATCGCTCGAACAGTTGTTGACTGGCTGTAGATTGGTGCATGGTTGCTGGGTGTTTGTCTGGTGGTGGAGATGATGATGTTGTTATTGTTGTTATTTGTCTGGTGAGTCAGAAGTGCACTGAAAGATGAATCTGCTGTGGTTTTCACAGTTTGGGGTGGTGAGTTTAAAGTCCACGAGTCCTGGTCGAAATCTGGAAGCTGGTGGACGAGCACAGGTAACGGAGTGACGTGATTTGCACTGATGGGTTCATTTGCCTCGTGGTTGCTTGTTGATGGCTGACCAACGGGATTACTAATTGCAAACTGCCAGTTATTGGAACAGAAGACAGCTGGAATGCTGCAAAGAAATAAAACCATAAATATAATCCACTCATGTTCAAATCATAAAGTATTCTTTGTAGTCCTGGTTTCTTTAGAAGACCAAATGTCCTGAATATTTTCTACTTTGTACTGAAGTTATATAATCTGCTTGTTAAAACTTCTAATTTATTCAGTTTCAATTAAAAAGTTATTTGCAAATAACCTGTTTTATTCACACTGTAGTTATAAAATAACTGTTAAACACCAAAACTGAAAATACATGTTTTCTTAGACAGCCATGATTTGGAGATTCATTGTGCTGTATGAAAAATTACAAACCTAAACAGCTCAAGGTATAAATATAATAAAAACAGAAATTTAATCTCACACCAGAAGGCTCATCCAATCTTTCTCTCTAGGAAACACTGCAAAAATGAAATCTTGAAACCTTTTATGCAACCTTTCTGCTTTCCTTCACTGGCTTCTAGTGAAATAAATGACATACAGAGCCCTACGTGGCCAGGCTCCTGTATATACAGCTCAGCTACCAAGAGCTTATAACCTTAGTTGGCCTCTCTAATCATCTTATCAATGTATCTTAACTGCTCCTTGCTCTTATTTTAAATCCAGAGGGGACCACACTTCTGATTTTGGAGAGCCTAAATTTTGGAACAGTCTTCCTCGCCCTGTCAGGTCAGGCAAAAGAGTCATTTGTTTTAAAAAACTGCTTTTGCTTAAGCTTTCTCCCATTATTTTTGGCCAGTCGGGCATAAGACTGTATGCCTGACTGTGTGTCTGTATGCTGAAACATGTACATGTATGGTTTAATTCGAACTGTGAAGTACTTTGGAACTGTGTGTTAAAAAGCGCTATACAAATGAAGCTATTCTTCTTCCTCTTCTGAAGATGGAAATGAGACTACACAGACCTGGCCAGCTGTTTTTGCAGCTCCTGAGCATGTTGGTTGCATTGAGCATAGTAGCTAGCCTGAGCATCCACAAAGTCAGTGAGGCTCCGCATATGGTTGGTCTGTAGAGGTAGATAGCAGGAAAACATATCCAACAAGGTAAAGAGCCACAAGCATTAAATATAAAAAGCAACAGTTCCTTTAAGAAACAGATAGTAAAAAAACAAACAAACACAAATTTGAACTCGTTAAGTGTACGTACATGTGTGTTGCTGAGTCCTTCCACAACAGCTCTTGTGATTTCTGACTGTCGATTGTAAAGACTCTGACAAATCCTCAGCTCCATCTCTGCCTACACATACAAACCCACACACACACACACACACACACAAACACACACCCCCACACACACATCTGTATGGTTTTTCTCTTATTTTTCTAAAAATGGCTGCCGAAATAATACAACATTTAAAATGAGCTCAAGTCTAAACAAACAGAAAACTACAGAAAGGAAATATTGTCTGTGCTAACAGCAGCTCCATATTCATATCAATTACTGCTGAGAGCCTCACTGATATACTGTATGAAGACCATTTCAGATCCTGTGTTCTTTAAACTGATAAGGAACTCACCTGTGAGATTTCCTGAGCCCAGATCTGTTTGCATGAAAGAGACAAATGCCTTATTTGAAGATCGAACAACAATTTCATCTGCGTCTGTTAATGTGCACGTTCCTACACAGAACTGCTGACCTTTAGCCATTTAACACGCAGGAAGCTGAACATGTAGGAGACATGAGACAAGTAGTCATCTTCCAGTGGGTTGGCATTCAGGTTCTGACAAAAAGACAGAAGATACAAGAACTGTAATGTCAAATATCAACAAGTTTAGCTTTTAGTCAGAGTATGACTAACTGAAAAGTATGTAATAATGTAACGGTGTAACTCACTCTGGCCTCTTGCTCAGCCTCGTGGGCTTTTCTCAGCCTGGCCTTAGTGATATCCAAGTCCAAACGTTTATTCACCAACATCTTGTGTTCATTCTAGGAATAAGCGATCTTGTTTACTTTACAAATAACCTATAAACTAAATATTATTTTGGGTGACAGCGTAAAATAACCTAATCACTGCTGTGATAATCACAATAAAGGTGCGAGTTTGTGTGCATGTGATACGGAGGCATGTGTTTACCTGTATGGCTTTGTATTCCCCCTCAGTGAAACTCCGCAGGGGAGTGAGAAAGTGAATGTTAGTGCTTTGGACAAACTTCCTCTCTGCCTCGCCGAGCTGCTTCTGAGCCTCTCCACACCTTATCAATCCAGTACCTGAGCAGAGAAACATAAAAATACAACACAGTGACAACTTTTCAATATATACTCATAACACAAAAAAGACAAGAATAAGCAAAGAAATGAACATGTGAAAATAGTTGAGATCCTTCTCGCAGATCAATAAAATGCACGTACTCATTAGCCACTTTATTAGGTATTCCTGCTCAACTGCTTGGTAATCAACCCTGTACTGGCAAACTGCATGTACCTAATAAAATGGCTGGTGAGTGTGTACTCACCATAAGGTGTGTTTGATCCAATCTCCAGCCCGGCCTGAGTCATCTGATCTCCCAGTAACTCAACGGCACGAGGCCGGGGTGGGACGCTCCACTCCAGATGCTGATACAGCCGGTCCTCTAACCGCACTCCTGTGTATCAGAGGTCAAAGGTCATATCAAAATTCAGTGGCTACATTTTCTATACACCATGTGACAATTTTTATCATGTACATTTGTTAAAGGATGCACCTGTGACAATACAATTAATTAAAAATGGTAATAAACAATACACACACAACACCTCTCAAAACTGTAATGCATTGGTTTCATAGTTTCTTCCACAAGGAGAAGGTCCTAAAATATTGTTTCATATAATAAATATCATTGTGAAAATGATTTTACAAGAAGACTATAAACCCTTGGAAGATAAATTCAGCGAGACATGACCTGAAAATGTATCCTGGATGCATCTGGCAGCTGAATGTACCTTTTATTTGATAGATTGCAGACCACATCCACTCATAACTCCATTAGAAAACGTAATTGGATTCAAACAGGCTAAAGAATAAGCATCTCTATTCATCCAAACAGGCCAATTGCTACCAAAGTAAACAAGAGACATCAAGGAAGATGTATGCATGTACTGTGGGAGGGCAAAGAGAGCTGAAACGATTGGTCCCAGAGGTAAAGACTCTCAGCTAACTTAGGACCACAACAGTAAGTTGATGGGATTTGATGACTCTGCTTTTATCTGTATGTTGGCAGCTGGAAATTGCTTGATATCATCCCAGATGCATTTTCTTCATAAATATTTACAGTTCATCTAAATATTTCTCATCTTCATTGTAAATGTCTTTAAAAATACTCCATAGAATACCTTCCTCGGAAGAGGGAAACCATCTCCATTACTCTTAATGAGATGATGTTTTACTTTAAAAGAGTAAATGCTCAGATCTTTTTTCTCACCTTTTATATATTTGGATACAGTGAACAGGTTAGAGTTCAGGATCATAAAAACAGGGCTAATTGTGGCAAAAACAGGACCAACTGTTAGTGAAGTGGGTATGTATACATCTGTAACTGCTCAATGAATCAGGGCAGCTTCATTAAATCAATTCATGTTCTCCTACCGAGGCTTGGCTGCAGTAAAGCCTCAGTCTGGGAGATTATCTGGTCCGTCCACGTCTTGGTGGCGTCCGCCCGTGATAAAAGCTCCTCCAGTCCGGGATCCAACTCAGTCCTCTCGGCCTGTCCTAGACTCTCTCCAGTGTACTGGAGCGAATTTCACGGTAACATTGATTAACAAACTGCTTAACTGCGCACTTTTCTTTTAGTAAGGGCAGTCGCTGATTTAGGGTTGAGATTAAAGCCCAGGAAAAACACATAATAGTTTCCTTTATTATTATTATTATTATTATTATTATTATTATTATTACCTGAACAGCGCGGTTGATGAACTGACCAGCATCCACGGCCAACCGAGTCAAATCCATGACAGCGTCCCCAAGGTCGCGTCGTCGCCGGCGGACCAACTGACAATCAGCGGCCAAGCAGGACCGGGGTAACCACGTTATGAAAAGACAGCTAACCAACAACAAGAGGAAGACCTCGCCATAGCCTCCCGGCTAACCGCCCCACTTTCTGCTGGCAAGATTACGGTCCGTTAACACCGAGCAGCCGAGCCCAAGAGGACGAAGCAAGTGCAGGCACCTGCGTATGTTGACCGTTTAGCCTCCTCCGCATCCTGAGCGCGTCTTCTGTCGAGTTGGACGTCTTTAACATGTGTTTCAGAACCGTGGAAAATAACAGCATCGCATCGGCTATCCAAAACGGTCGGCTTTGACAACAGCAACAGATTCACAGTGATATTAAATATTAGCTAGCGTTTTTGATTTTTTTCAAAGCTTCACTACAACGATAAATTTTAAATTTCGGATTATTTTGAATACCGACAGGTTTAAATAATATTAAGCTTTCACATAAATTAAACTGGACATTTACAGGTGTCGAAAATTCAGTAAAATTATTAGTATATTAAAAAAAAGAAAAGATTTACCTGATAAGAGAGCGCCTTTATCCACACTTCCGGTTCAGATCATTCAAAATAAAAGCATATTCCTATGTATTTATCTTGCTTTCCCACTATAAATATGTAAATAAATAAATACAACCAAGCTCATCCTGATCTAAAAATAGATTAAAGGTTTCTATCCCAAAGCCAGCTGAAACAACAGCCAAGCATTAACAAAAAGAAGAAAAGTAATAATTACAAATACAGTGATTTTCTGACTGCCTGAACTCATTACTAGATAAGAAAAATATTGCTAGCTGAAAAGGAAACTACTGCTATACTCACGCCTTCACCCAGCCTTTTAAGCAGACATTTCTTAGTGGCGATTTCTTTTTATGTAAAAAGTTGAACCAGTTGGCTGTAATCAGGAGTGAAGAAGCAGCGGGAGACGGGATTAAAACAATCAGCTGACAAGCCTGTCTAGCTCTGTGAGTTTAAGGAGGGTTAAGAGATTAGAAGATACACACTACGGCACGTTTACCAACTAAATGGCTTTATTACAAGGGAATGTACAACAGTGCTGCGTTTTTCAATGTTTTTCTAGATAACTCGAAACAGAAAAAGGCTCCATTCAAAAGGGCTTGGATTGCATTATAATCTTCTGAATTGAGTGCCTTTTCTTTCTACAAGTAAGGACCCCATCCTAAATACACATGACACAGTAGTTTATCATCCATGGCTTCTTGTATGAGGTAATGGACGTGCCCCTCAATTGACAGAGGAAGACCCAGCACCTTATTCCTGCAGGTTCGCTCGATGTCAAACACATGGGTTTTAGCCTGACAGAGAAACGTAAAAAACAAACATTAGGTTTTATTGGACCTGAATGTACTGTAGTTAACTCAGTTTTCCTCTGGGATTAATAAAGTCTCTCTAATTCAGATTCGCAAGTAAATATAGTTTAAGAGGTAAAAATTCAAGAAACATGCCCACTTTTTTATTAACAATCTCTCCTGTCTCATTGGCACAGTGTGAGGTGTTAGTACTGCCATCGGCCCTCTCAGTCTGGACCACCAGCGCCCTTCTTTGAAGCATTTATGTACAGGCCAGGCTAATAAAAGCTCCTTTTCCCCATTCTTCTAGATGTGTTTCTCAAAGCTTGTTGAGCCCTAAGCTTATTTGTTTATTTTGGTCTGACTGACCTCCATGTGATGTGTGCTTCAGGTGGAGCACCGTTGCCATACTGCTCGCTGGGCTCGCCGTTTTTTTTCACTCTGTAACCAGAGACTGCAGCAGTTGGTGCCGCGCCTCTTTGCCATAGTTGCTGAACAGCAAAGGAAGCAGCTGGTAGATGCAGCTCAGAGGTAAGGTAACAGACGATAATCACAAGCATCAGATAGCAGGATCACATCAAAATTCACATAATTTACATCCTTGTTTCCCCAAAAAACTGCAAATAAAAACAGAAGGTGATGATTTCGAAAGTATTTACAAAAAACTACATTTCAGAAAAGTCCAGTGAGGGACAACAAAAACTAGAAAAGTTGTTTAATGCTCAAAAGCATTAAATAAATACATCTGATGGAACATCACAACACAAATAAGATTTAGTAGCATGATGAAAGATGAGCATCTCAAAAAGTCCCCGTGTTTAATGTTGTTTAAATGCAGATTTAAGTGATTTGCAGTCTTGCTTTTAGTTTTACTTAATACAGCTTTCATAGAAACAGGGTTGCACATTATCAAACGATACTTAGCACTTACTGTACATGTCTGCAATATTTATAGATCACGTTTCCATGATGATCCCTTATCTGTCCGGCCGGAGAATGGCCTCAGCAACCGCATTCGTGGACTTTTTGAAAATGCCATAGCAACAGAAACTGGGGCTCTTTGCTCTTTACTTTGGAGGATGTACATCCACCTTCTAGTTGAGACCGGTCATACAAGCTCACGTTGATGCTGTTTTCTGCTCTGGAGCACTAAACCTGTTAGGAAGAAAGTAGAGACCTGATCTTGCTTAAATAAGAAAAAGAAATGATGCCTCTGAAAGCGTCAGCATCATTAAAAAAGAAGAAGGAGAATAACGACTGTTTGTCCGCAGTTTACAAATATTGAACATGGAGACAGAAGTGTAGAACAGCTTCTGTGCTGTGGATACACAAATATCACAGTGATTACATTGTATATGTAAAGTGTGTAAGTTTGAATTTGTAGGTGTTTGAAGGAAAAGTGGATAAAGCCACAGTAATCTTCTACAAGGCCTTACAGAATATCCCCTGGTCCCCTGGTGAGGCACACACATACTGTGAGTGTGATATTTCCCAAAACTCGATTTATAGTTATAGTCCCTGCAGACTCATTAGGTGCGGTTATACGAGAGAAACTGAGCTAATTAATAACGAACAACAGCTCGTTTTACCAACCAACTGACTTTATACAGGGGTGCTCAGATTTGTAAAAAAGAGGAAATGGCTTTGAAACCTTAACATTAGTGTTTTGAGGACTATGATTTTACTTTTAAGAAAACAGAAGTGGTCATGTTACATATACCAGTAACCGTTAAGGGTGCAACCATTGAATGTATATATGTATAAATCTCAACAGTGTTAGAGAGGATCCCTAGTGAGTAGCACTTGGCGACTGTTGAGAGGAAGAAACCTGTGAAAGGACTAAGCTTAGGGACGGACAACTGAGAGAGGTGAAGAGAAAACAGGAGCATAACAAGAATCAGTAGCTGATAGCCACTCCTTATCTATTTTTTGGTTACAATTCAGTAAAAAGATAACCTGTATATAAAAGATGAACAGACTATGGATGAGACAGGGTTAAAACTTTTACTGAAACACTTCTTTGATGGTACATTAGAACATACGGAGCTCCGCAGTGGACATGGGAGGGAAAAAAAATTAAGACGGACTTTTGCGAGATCTCGCAAAACAAACTCGGGATCTCGCAAAAGTCCGTCTTAATTTTTTTTCTCCCATGTCCCCTGCGGAGCTCCGTAGTTTCAGAGTAACTCGCATACCATATTAAGGAAAAAAAAAAAAGATCAACAAAATTCAAAGTGCGGCTGGCTTGACCGCGGCTGCACTCGAGAGCTCACTGCACCATAGTTTCTCATTCTCAGAAAATGGACTTCATTGTCAGTTGCAGATTTATTTGCGCGATGATCTGCCGAGATTATGACCTCTGGTTGCGGAACGGTTTGTGACGCCATGCGCATCCTATCATCAGACGAGCTGTTACCGACTATCAATAATGCCTTCAACAAGCTCTCTGACGAACAGTGGATCTTAATAGAAAACGGACTTTTGGATTCTGATGTTCAAGCAGTTTTGGCCGATATGATTTCTGAAATCATACAGATCGCCACAGCCAAAATCTTGATACTTGCGCTTCCCGCCATTCAGCGTGGTGCATCTACGGATTTAGAAAAAAATCCATTTCTTGGTGACTCCATCTCAGTCACTTTTGCTAAAGCGCTCAGCATCCCTGTGCAGCACTGTGTGAGTGCTACACAGCTGGCAATGATGATTGAGAGGGAGAGTCAGACTCTTCTCAAAAAAGTGGCAGAGAATCTAGAACACCCTGTCATTCTAGATCAGCATCTCCAGAAAGACAGGCCAAGTCTCCAGAGAAATGCTCAACATCCTCTCGTTTAAGTTCAACACCTGTTCCCGAGAGGAGGGAGGAAGAACTGCCTGAAAAATCAGAGGCCAAATTCTCCAAAAAGGATGAGGAGGAACTGTCTGACAAGTCAGAGGACAGATTCTCCAAAGAACATGAGGACATACCCTCTGAGAAGTCTGAGGAGAAACCCTCCACAGATGAGAAACTGTCTGAAAAGTCAGAGGACAGAGTTTCTGAGGACAAACCCTCAGAAAACGTAGAGGAAAAGCTCTCAGAAGCGTCAGTGTCATCTGCTCAAGTGGAGGAAGTATCCCAAAACCTTGTTTACTTTCTTTTAATTGGACTTCTCGAGAAGTCCAAAAACAGGCGAAAAGGCCGTCTCACTCCTCCAGATGGCGTAACACTAGCTGACATCATTGAGCGTCTCAAAAACTTGGTGCAACCAGAAATCAGCAGCGCGGAGTCTACAACACGTCTGGAAAATGACGTGAGAGGATTGACCAAAAAACTGGTTAAAGGACTCATCAAGGAGTTTGGCTCCCCAGAAAGGATCATGGATGCTGCTTTGGCATGTGATAGTTCATTTGACGAGGCTATTTTGAGGCTCTTGAAAAATCCATTTGGGTGTCCCCACAAGTTATCGCCAAAAGTCCAGAGTTGCCAGGTTCTTTTCAGCATTGAAGAAAGCTTTAATGAAACCCTTCAGATGCTGTTTTATGGGCAGCGATGACTAAAGACCTTGACTTTTCCACTGCCTTGCTTCTCGCAAAATCTCGAAGCAGAAATGATCCAAAAACGGTCTTGAATCATCAATCATAGTGTCAAATCAAATTCCTTTATAGTTTTCCTAAAAAACTATATTTTCATTGTGTCTCCTTTTTGTTTTCCATCGAGTCCAGCCGGCCGCAGCAGATGGCTGCCCCTACATGAGCCTGGTTCTGCTGGAGGTTTCTGCTTTTTATGGCAGTTTTTCCTCCCCACTGTCGCCTTGTGCTTGCTCATAAGGGATCATTTGATTGCTGGAATTTTCTAAAATTGGTGTTTTGAACTTTAAGATAGAGGTCCTGCAGGCCCTCCACCTTAAATTTCAAAACACCTCCAGGAGACTTTGTAGTTAATTGTCATTACAATGAAATAAAAAAAAATCCAAATTAAAAACACATTGACTTTTGTTGTCTGTTCTTGATGTTAACCACGAAAGAAAAAAAAGTGTTGCATGTGTGTACTCTGGTCATCAGTACTGGTATTTTAATGTATTAGAGTAGAATTTGATATAGGGTTAGAGTCTGTTGACAGTTTATCTTCCTCACAATCCCGAGCGCTTCTTCTGTCGAGCTGGATGTCTTTAATATGAGTTTCCAGAACCGTGGAAAATAACAGCATCGTCGAGCTAAACCGGTCGTCTCTGACAACAGCAACAGATTACAAGTGATAATAAATATTATCACAAATACATTTCCATTTCAGATTATTCCAAATAAAAGTATATTCTCATGCAATTATCTTGGAAAGTGTTTTCCCACTAAAAATATGCAAATACATAAATACAACCAAGTTCATCCTGATCTATCCCAAAGCCAGCTGCAACAACAACCAAGCATTAACAAAAAAGAAGAAAAGTAATAATTACAAGTGATTTTCTGACTACCTGAACTGATCACTAGATAAGAAAAATATTGCTAGCCAAAAACAAACTACTACCTACTTCTTACTCACACCTTCACCCAGTCCACTTTCAGCTTTTTAAGCAGACATTTAATTCTAAGTGGTGCTTTTATGTAAAAAGTTGGGCCAGTTGGCTGTAATCAGGAGTGAAGAAGCAGCAGGAGACATGGGATTAAAACAATCAGCTGACAAGCCTGTCTAGCTCTGAGAGTTTGAGGGTTAAGAGATTAGAAGATACACACTACAGCACATTTAACCAACAAAATAATTTATTACAAGGGAATGTACAACAGTGCTGCATTTTCAATGTTTTCAAAATGGAAAAAGGCTCAGGAACAAACAGTCAAAAGTGCTTGGATTGCATTATAATCTTCTGAATTGAGTGCTTTTTCTTTCTACAAGTAAGGACCCCAGCCTAAATACATCTGACACAGTAGTTTATCATCTGTGGCTTCTTGTATGAGGTAATGGACGTGCCCCTCAATTGACAGAGGAAGACCCAGCACTTTATTCCTGCTCTTAATCACTCCCTGCAGGCGCTGCTCAATGTCACACACGTGGGTTTTAGCCTAGCAGAGAAATGTAAAGAACAAACATTATTAGGTTTTATTGAACCTGAATGTGCTGTATTTAGCCCAGTTTTCCTCTGGGATTAATAAAGTCTCTCTGGTTTAGATTTGCAAGTAAATATAATTTAAGAGGTAAAAATTCAAGAAACATGCCCACCTTTTCATTAACAATCTCTCCTGTCTCATTGGCCTGAGCTTTTGATAGTCCTTTGGCTTGTTTGCTCCACTCCACCAGTGGGTCATGAAGGAAGGTCTTCAGCACGCTTGCAGGAAAAATTAAAAACAAAAACACATTTTTAATATTTATGAATGGTTGAATTTGACATTAATACTTTTTATGTGAATGTACCTCATGAGTGGCTCTCTCTGGTCTCTCATTAGTCTTATCGTAACCTCACAGGCTTGCCTAAAGAGGCCCTCGATGCCCATGGGCCCCATAGCATGCACCATGTTTCGCGTCAGACGAAAGGGAACAACCTCTGGCACGTCAAATGTCTCCCCCTAGTGGAAAAGGAGAGAAAAGCACAGGCAAACTTAAAAGCAACAACATGCACTGGTGTTAAGGATACATATAATAAATAATAAATATATGAACATTCCTAAATAATATTTTATTGAATCTAAGGCAAAAAAAACAAAAAAACAAACCTTGTTAAAGAGGCAGTTGAAGTCTACATGAACACATTCTCCAGTGAAGGAATCAAAGAGGATGTTTTCTCCGTGGCGATCTCCCAGACCCAGGATGTAGCCCACCATGGACATCACAGCAGTGGAGCGGCAGTATGCTGAACGACTGCTGTACCTGTAAACACACAAATACTCCAAAGATTTATTCTTGGATTTAAGTTACACTTGAAGCAGATTTTTGAAAAATTCTGAATTGAAATAACTTCTTTCAAATGTGGTCAAGATGTTAAATGAAAATGACTAACATTTCTGGTAAAGCAGTGACTTCCAGGAGTATAATTATAGCAGTGTTGTAGTGAAAGTCATACCATGACGTGGGGTCAGGAAAGGTCCGGAGGAACCATTCATAGAAGACAGGGGGGTGTCGAGCACACAGCACCTCCTTGTGGATTCGCAGTTTTTCCTCAAAGGGAGCTGTCTTGGGAAGAATAAGCTTCCTGAGCTCTTTACCTGATAGGTAGATACCTTAAAAACACAGAAAAGGTGAACAACTTAATTACTTCCTAACATTTACTTAAAAAAAAAAGAAAAGGTTTTTGATTGTAGGTGTTATAAGTAAGGGATACCTCTCTCTTTGTACAGCTTTGTGAGAATGTGCCGCAGCCCGGCAGTGTTGTTAACCCATTCAATGATGCCACACTCCTCATTGAGGGGAATCACAGCATAAGTCCGGATGTGTAGCTCCCTCCGTCTGGACTCAGCATCTTTACGGAGGCACTACAACAGTACACACACAGTACAAACAAGCACATATAAATGCTGTTCTTCTCATATTTTCTCAAGTATTGTCATGTAATTTGCACACATATTGATTGATTTAGTACAGCTCTGCTACATAATGAGCTCCTAACTGCAAAAAAAATAAAAATAAAAAAAAGGTTCAGTTTTTATTCACATTATGAGAAGAGGCTAATATTTCATTTTAACTTTGAGGCCAGAACAACACATAAAATAAGATTGAACCTCTAAAAGTTAGTAAGTTTGTTTATTCTGACCTAACATGCAAGTCGCTCTATGGCCAGAACTCACTATATATCCATTTAGTTTGAATGAAATCTCCCAGATACCTTATTGATGAGACAGTTGAACTCCATAAGTCTGCAGTCCTTCCTCAGGTCATCTTTAGGTTTACACATCATGGTGTAACCCCGACCATCCGAACCCTTCAGGCTTATCTTCTTTGGCTTCTGCAAAGAGGCCAGGATCTCCACCTACACAAACAAGATTATTTTCTGTAACTGTCAATCAACTCCTGCCGAATGTTAAACATACCGTGGCGGCCGGTCAGAATAGTTAACACCCTCTTTCTCTTACACTGTCTTCAAAACCATCCAGGTATGCCCAGTGTCCAGGAAAAGCATCATGCTGTGTGTTTTCCCCGCCTGTGGAGGGCAGCGTTGGGATGAGGACAGACTGCAGAGGGATCAGGATCTGACTGAATGTCGGCTCCTCCACCAAACGTTTTAGCTGCTTGAAGTGAATGCTCATACTGAGGGTGGTGCTGTTACCATTCACCTGTAAGACACATATAGAAACATCTCTACTCCTGCCTAAAGATGATTTAAGGATTGAGAAGTCATAGACTATTGAAGTGTATTTGTGCATGGGCGTGTATACCGGTTTATTACAAAGCTCCAAAAGCTTGTCTGTCAGTCTGTTGGCATCTCCAATGAATTTTTCCAGGGACTGTTTAAGACTGACGGCTTTCTTAAGGATCTGATTACAGCGATTCATGCGCATGGGGTAGGATGACTGGAAAGAAAAGAAAAGCAGACATAAATAAATGCTGTATTTCGGACGCAGAAGCAGTTGATTACAAAAACTAACAGAGAAATTGTAATTTTGATTTGAACTGATCTGCTAAATAACATTTCAAATAAAATAAAAACCCCACATAAACAGACTTGCAAATGTTAAACTTTATAGTCACCCCTCATTTGTTTATATTTTGCTTCCAAAGACCCAGACCGTCTAGTAATTTCTTAAAGTGATCTTGGAGCAATAGTTCCCCAGGCTTTCTGGAGGGATTTCAAAGGGTTTGTTTGGACAGTGGCTACTACATAAGTGGATGACAAAAGAAGAGATGCATTTATTATCTGTTATGGAAGGCAGCCAACATCCGAGGAAAAGCTTTGAATGTCCTCCAAGAAGCCTGGAGAACTATTCCTGAATATTCCTAATCCTACCTAATGAAATGACAAAACAACTTGCCTAAGAGAGTTCAGGCTGTGTTGAAGAATAAAAGTGGTCATATCAAATATTGACTTTCAAGCACATTAGAATTACAAAGGCTATATTTCCATGTTTATAGAAATCACCATCAACCTTAAATGAGGGGTGGCTCATTTCTCTCACCTTGCACACCGCAGTCATTAGCCACATAGCTTGCTGGGGGTATGTGAGGAACACTTTGGCCACAATGGTCATGAGGACATTGAAGACCTCATCGCTGGAGTGACACACCCTGGAGATCAGCTGGGAAAATGCGGTCAGGAACTGGTACGGCGCCAGCTTAGCACAGTGCTCGCTCACTACTGTGTTGATTTTACTCAGCTCCTGTCGCATCTGTCTGTCTGCTCGCCCAGCTGAGGTGAAGGAATAGGTATAATATCAAGTGTTAATGAAAAGCCAATGAAATGCTAAAAATTTGCAAATTAATTAGACTGAAACTAGAAATATCTCCCTGCCCTGTGTGATTTGCCCACCTTTCTCACATTCACACACTTTAGCTCCAAAGTCCAGCCAAAGAGACAGCATGCGAGGCATGGCCTGGTAGATATACTGGTTTCCAAACTGCAGAGCACTAGGAGGGAGAAAGTTGATAAGTGTGTTGTTTGATGAAGAAATTAACAGCTGTGAAGTAGCTAATAGAAGCTCTGATTGTAGTCTACAGCAGGGGTGTGCAACTCCAGTCCCCGAGAGCTACTGTCCTGCAGCTTTTAGATGCATCTTTGTTCCGACACACCTGAATCAATGAATGGCTTGTTATCAGGCCTTTGGCAAACTTGATGGCATGCTGAAGAATTAATCCAACCATTTGATTCAGCTGTGTTGGAGTAGAGATGCATATTAAAGCTGCAGGACCGAGAACTGGAGTTGGAGACTCTGGGTCTACAGGGCTGCAAATCAGCAGAAAGAACAAGAACTTACTTCCCGAAGAATGTGACGATGTAACGGATCAGATTACCCTGTTTCTCCAGCTTGTTATCTGTCACCATTGGCATGACTTTGTCATAGTATTTGGCTAAGTAGAAGTTACCATCCTCCCACTCTGGTAGGAGGTTAGTCACATCCTAAAAACAAAAAAACAAACAAAAAAAAAACATACAACACATAAGGTAAAGACAAGTGATGCAGAAATCTGCTTTGGTGCCACATCACTGTGAGGGTGATCTCTGACATTTGCATCATTGCATTTTTCACTTTTTTGTCTTTTTATGAAACATTTTCAGAATCTAGTTTGAAAGTGTGTAGATATATCAACCCTGTATGTCTTCATGATGGCATTAGACTCAAAGTTGGCCGTCTCCTCCATGAAGCGCCCCACCAGCAGCATGGCTTTGCCTTTAGTCTGGAGACTGCGAGGATCTGTCAGGGGCTGATCTTCAGGGAAACACTGAGCCACACCCTTCTGCAGGACAATCAGAGCTTGGTGGACATCGCCCTGATGACATTCAGGCAGACAAATTAGGCTATATTAGTTTAATTTGATTATGCACATGTATGAAAATCTAATTTGCAGATAGGAAGACACTAAAGAAAATACGTTTTCTGGTCCTGTACAAATGTGAATAATTTGCATACAGTTTTGCATCATATATTGAACGCTCGTTTTACTTGTAGCCTGGTTATACCTTAGACCAAAGCCACTTTGCCTTCTCTGTGACCAGTTCAGCAAGATTTGTATTTTCTGCATTGAGAAGGGCGTTAAAGGCGGTCTGATGGTGTCCTGCTTTCCTGGCAACCCGGGCACTTTGTAACCAGCACTCCCCAACCAGCTCCTGACATACAGGTCTGCAGCGCAAGAGTGAGATGATACATGCAGATGTGAGTTCAGAAAGATTGAAAATATAGAGATCCTGTTGTATTAAGAAGAAATTTTAAACCGATTTCTCTAATGTGTGTGTTTCAGAAAAACAGCATGTTAAAATCTGTGCAACTAAAAAGTGATGTTTCCTTACTGCGTTCCCAGACTGAGCAGGGCACGGCGGAGAGCCAGGACTGGCTCCTTGGCCCTGAAAGAGTTTTGCGTCATTTCCAGCCGATCTGACCAATGAGGAGGCAGTTGGCTGAGGTTGGACCCGGATCCCTGTCTCTGTTTCAGCAGCTCAGTGAAGGTGTGCTCCAACTCACTGAGCATGTGGAGTCTAAACACACGTAAAAGCTTTTTTAGAAAGTTATTAAAACACAACACACTTGACTCCAAACTGAGCTGACACCCACAGACCTGACAATATACTCGTATCCTCTCTGGTAGGTTCCACACTCATAACTGGCAGCAGACAGAGGGACGACCTGTTCTTTCCTCACCAGCTTCAGCTTCTCATAGAAATTTTCAGCATCCTGCTTCTTAGCTGAGAGCAGCAACTGGCCGAGCCGCACACCCCATGTGCTGGACTGCTGGTCTGGAGACACAGAATAGAAAACTATGCTTTAAGCAGATCCATGCAGCATGGAGTCACCAGTGATTTCAGATGTTGCAAATACATGCTGTGTTTCTGCACTACCTGAACTCAAATAATCTTCCAGCAGGTCCCATTTTCCAAGCTTCCAGGCTGCCTCTACTCTGTAGGTGTTGAGTTCTGACTTCCACTGGTGCCTAAATGGACATACAATGCAACATTAGGCAAACCTATATTAACCTAAATTTTAAAAATTACATTTAATAAGAAATAGATGTACACTGATATGTATTTTTCTTACTTGTTGGCCAGTACTCCATTGACTTGCGTGATGACTGTGGACAGCTGTCCCAGGCCGAGCATGGAGGTCATCACTCCATGATAGTGAGCGATCTTTATACAAAGCGATAATTGAAATGATCAAGAAAGAAAAAACAGTAAGTTAATTATCTTTTATGTCGATATCATAAATAACATATTGTAAGAAAACATATAAAACTGGTATAGTATATGTACACTTACCGGTTTATTAAGCATGTCAGTTCTTTTAAATGCAAATAACTAATCAGTCAATCACATGGGAGCAGCTCAATGCATTTAGACAGGTACACAAGATCAATTTCAACCCAACCAAGTATCAGAATCAAGGAGAAAGGTGATTAAAGTGGCTTTGAACACACCACTGAAATACTCAGTCGCACCAACTGTGTGTACATGTTTATGGACTGCATGTGTTTGGGTACCTGGTCTGACTCCAGCTGTATGGCTCTGTCATAGCACGCAGTGGCGTCACGGAGCAGGCCGATGCTTTCATGCTCAAGTATCTGTTCCTGGAGTGATGGCTCCTCCCTCCTCAGAGCGTTGACACCTCTCACTCCATCCGGCTCGTGCATTGCAGCGTACAGCGTCTGTGGCAAGCAATCACGTACATCACAGAGCTTAAAGTTCACCACAGAGATTAATTGGATGAGTGGTTAAAAGACAAGTGCACTTGTACTATTGGACTCGTTGCTGTCAAGATAACTTTTATAATGCAGTCAAAAGTCCTGAGTCAATCTTTTATTTAATGGTTAATAACCAAATTGTTTTCTGACCTGCAGGAATGAGAGATGGTCTTGTACGTTCTCTTTATTTTCCAGGATGTAAGCTTCAAAGTGCATGAGGGCACGAGTGTACGCTTTGGATCGTAGAGAGGCCTTGGCCAGGACATCCTGCGGGATATCTTTCAAGAAGGCCACCACGCGCTGATAATCCCCACTCTCTGCAATATCATGTTATAATTCTTTACTTTATTAAAGCAACAAGGTGAGTGAACAATGAGGAGAACTGAATTTTATTTAGTTATTTTCTTATACAGCTCAATGCAAATAATGCATAAAAGCCTCAATATTATCATGTAAATAATAGCAATATAAATTGCTATAGAGTTGACTGAGTAAATGCATCTTTTTCAACAGTGACTGAAGCTATGCATCTTTTCATTAGTCCCTAGATTATTGTAGGGTCTACCTTACAATATAAAGTGCCTTGAAGCAACTGTTGTTATGGATAAATAAAACTGAATTGAACTGAACTGAATTCTTACCATGTTTGGGTTTGGAGTAGAGGATGTGGCGACTCCACTGTGTAAGGTGTGAAAGCATGCTGAACACAGTCTGAGTGCTCAGCTGTGACAGGCTGGAGGCAGTCTTCTGGGCAAGCCCCTCGGCTTGTCCATCTCCCTCTGTCAGCACAGCCAGCATTTCCTCTGTAACCTTCGACAGAAACAA